AAACTTTAGGAATCTTCTCCTTTAATTAACACATCAATCCCTTAGAAAAAAATTGGAAAAAACAAATTCATATCCAGATTCATATTTTCAGTAAGGAAGCAAGTCATTACTGCTCAATGCAACATGAAGTTAAGACAGGGATGGAGATGGCCCAGCCCCGCCTCTGCTGGAACAGGAAGCTCAATCAAGGAAAGAACACAGGTCAGTAGGGGGGGAGGGTGATGATGGGGAGGGGGAGGGCCCGTCTCACCACCTCCTCACATTATGCTAATAGGAACGCAGACACCAGATACCAGTTGCAGAAAGAGAATTCAAGAGATTTGAAGTCACAAAGTGGGAACGTGAACAAATCTTGCATCACTCAGTCCCCCAGAAGGCGGCTGTCTCACACTGGGAAAGAAAATAATCACGAACAAATTCAGGTCAGTCACATAGTGTTGACATTCTCAACAGCCCACCAGCTATTCAAAATGTCCCAATGAGAGAATCTCTATAACCTAGTCATGGCCCTTCTCCCCAACACCTCCCTCACTTCAGGCCTCCAGGGCCTCACCTGTCCAGAGAGACACATCAGAACCCTGGACACTGTCACTGCCTGGGGTAGAACAAAACAGGATGCGGTCAGAGCCCAGAGGAGATGAGACTTAAGGAAGAACTATGGGGTGAGTGAGCTCCCCCATGGGATCTGTCTACACTATCTCAAGGGTCTCAGGGATCAACTCCCCACTCAAACTTACCTGCAGCCTGAGCGTAGCTCCCTCTTTTTTCCCCTGTGGGAAGAAAACAGGGAGAAGCCTGGGTCATGAGATCCTAGAGGAAACCCCTAGTTCTGGACCACAAGGAAGTTTCCAGAAATGTGACTGAAGCTCCAGAGCAGGATGAGGAAACAAAGAAAAGAGACGTATAGGAACTGAACCAACTGCCCTCCTGGAGCTCTGTCCTCAGCAGGGACCTTCCCCTGTGGCTTTCGACTGCTGGGAATCAGGTCCCCAGCACCAGAATTATCAAGGTGAAACAATCTGTCTTTCATTTTCATAAGTGCTTTACAGAAAACTGTTAGCATTCAGCTCCAGAGAGGCAAACACGTGTGTGGATGGTGCTTCCCATTAACGAGGCAGGGCAAGTTCTACCTGGGATTGAAACCCCTCAGTGGGACAGGAAAACTCAAACCCCTCCACTCCCTTCCCTACCTGAGCACTTCTTCCTCCACATCACAGCTCCAGCCACCACAGCTCCAGCTGCAAAGAGAACCAGGCCAACAATGATGCCCATGATGGGGATAGTAGGCTGAGGAGGTAGTTCTGCGAAAAGGAAGGAAGGTGAGGGACTCTGACATCAAGCTTGAGTCCTGACCTTGCTGAAGGTGTCCAAAAAGGCTTCTGTTTTCCCTGAGAAGAAGCTCCACCCCTTATCCCCCTCCTTACCTTATCTCAGGGTGATTGGCTTAGGCAGCTCCTCATGCTGCACATCGCATGTGTATCTCTGCTTCTCTCCAGAAGGCACCACCACAGCCGCCCACTTCTGGAAGGTCCTGTCGCCTGCAGGCCTGGTCTCCACAAGCTCCGTGTCCTGAGTCAGGTCCTGCCCATCACGTTGCCAGGACAGGGTGATCTCTGCAGGGTAGAAGCCCAGGGCCCGGCACCTCAGGGTGACTCTTGGTCAGAGATGGGGTGGTGGGTCATGTGTCTTCCTGGGGGTTCTGAGGAGGAAGAATCAGAAAATTCATTTTCAGTTATCTCCATGAGCCACTAAAGCAGCACTCATGGACAGCACAGTTGGTTTTTTAAGGAGCACACAACCCAGAGACCAGCCTGCATTTGGGGATCTGGGATAATCTCTTATTTCTTGGAAAGTTCTAGAATTAGGGTGAGAGCCCAGGGTAGGAGGCTCCAGGTCTCTAAAGAGAAGAACACAGACTTTTGGTCCTGACCTGGGTGGAGGCTGAATGACTCAGAAAAGCTGGAGTCGTACCTGCAAAGACGTTCTCAGGCCAAGGAACAAGGCCTAGAGAGAGGAAGTCGTGGTTCACAAGATGGTTGACAGGGTCAAAGGGAAACAATGATGGGCGATCAGGGATGGCCTCCCCTTCTATTCCTGAAGAACCTGGATTCCTTAACTGTCCTTTAGAGAAGGGTTGGCCATCTGGGCAAGTCATTAG